GCAAAGGACCAGCACAAACCAGCAAAGGACCAGCTTAAACCAGCATCAAAACATACCTAACCAGCATATGCTGGTTTTTTTCAACAGGGAGCACATCCAGCAATTATTTATTTACAAATTATAAGCTCTGATTATGACAAGTGTGGTATAAAAGCTTTGTTTATTAGAGGAATATTTGGTTTGCTGGAAAATCTTACATCGCGACCATGCTTTTGGATGCTGTTTGAGCCCATATAGCCTACATTTATGCGGCTTTGTTCTTGGTCACAAATTCAATAATATTTAGGCATTGTTTCTTTTCCTAAATCCTCACCGTCTAACCCTCTAATTTCGCAGGTTTATTTTATTGTCATTCACTTTTTATCACTGTGAGGCAGTAAGTGGTCAGGTGCTTAGAATATTACCAATAATAAGAGAAATCCTATAGACGACTACGCCACCCGGAATACACCAGGACATAACAGCCCTAAGCAAAGGGACACAGGTTCGTTGCCAAAGGCAGGGTGAGCATAATAATAATAATGGGTATAAACAAAAGTCACTATTAACATACAATTGATAAAACACATGCAACACTTTACACCAGGTCTCAATACATCACATGTCTTTACCAGTAACTTATAAAACAAGTACAATACAATGAGAGAAAATAAAGGGGGAGGTGGCAGCAAAGACCCTCGGATTTCTACCCCACACTCAATACCCATGACACACATTCATGAAAAATCAGTAATATTAAACACAGCACTCCATGTGGACACGCAGTACAAAGTACCATGGCCAACCCCTCCCACCTAAATCCACACACACAACAATACAAAACATAATATAACAGACGGACCCAGATGAATTCCAGACAGAACAAAACAGAGTAGAGCAGAGCAGAAGTGCAGTCAGTTATTTGAGATTCGTTATGTGTCAATTAAGATCGTTAGAAACCCCTGGACGTGCAATCAATCCTGCTGGACATCAAACAAAAGTTACGCATTAAAAACTTGTTTAAAACAAACTTTAAAACTAGCCATACCTACCAAGAAAACAGTACAATGCCACAATACACATGGTCGCTCACCACGCAGGATTACAGCTACTTGCAGGCCCATATCTAAAAACAAACAAGGTAATAAGCCTCTATTTAACAGGCAAAAGGGCATTTTTAAAATGGGGACAAACCTGAAAACTGGCCAACAGCCAGCACACGACAGACAGGAGGATAACCCAACTGCTAGCACTCAAAGCACCATATGTCACAAAGGGGCGGTACCAAGGATGATGCATCCCAAGCAACCAAACAC